AGGCCCACTTCCACTTGAACATGAAAAGCAAATCCATCCTCGGCCTCACATCCCATTCCTACTTTCACCTCAGTCCTACCTTGCCCACTGAACCCGCCGCCAGCCTGCCCCTGCATGCCCACCCCACCTATCATCACCATCCGCCAGAGGACCTCCCTGAATGCCATGCTCCAACTCACCATCTACCCACCCACTCCTTCCTAATCCAACCGATCTCCTAAACCCCACCCTCACCCACCACCCGCCCTGAGGGGCCACCTCCACTTGGATCTCATCCACCTCCAACCCAGGGGGCGAACTCCACCCAACCCCCAGCCTGCCTTACTCCACCTTCACTCATCGCCTCCACCTCAATCCTTTCCAACCTGCCGAAGCCCACATGACTTCCCTAAGGCCCTACCCTCTGAAGCGCCCTGCCCAAACCCACGGCCACCTATCCTCCACCCCACCAAGGGCCCCACTCTACTGGAAAACCCCCTCATCCGCTCCAATCCCCATGTCTCCAATCTCCACCCCTCCTGAACCGTCCACCTGAGGTCTAACTCACCTCAAACTCCACCTGAGGGCCCATCCCGTCTTGCACCCAATCCCCAGCCCAACTTGAGCCTGCTTACCCAACCCCACCTGAGATTCCCTTTTCCCTGCCTCCCCAGCTTCCCCTAGCTCCAAACCCCAAGTGACCCCAGCAGCTCCTCGCCCTCCCAACTGCAACACCGGCCACTGAAGGGCTGCCCGCCGCCTCCGCCGTCGGACCACCCCAGATTTTCCGCCCCACGGCCTGGGTGCCTCATGGCCTCCCCCCGCTGTCCCAGGTGGGCCTGGAATTCCTTTCCCAGCTCATTCTTTGCCTGGCGCCGTCCCATCGTTCCATGGCAGTCCTCCGGGGGACTCTGAGCTGGAGCCCTGGACCGGCTGGAAAACCTCGAGCCCACCGCTGGCCTTGTACCCGAGCCGGTGGCAGCAGCCCTGTGAAACCTGTGAGTCTCTCTTTTCACTCCTGATCGTCCTGCCTTCAAGGTGCCGGCTGGCCAAGACCATCCCCAGGGGTCTCCCTGCCTGAGCCTGGGGATCACTGTGGGTGGCTGGAGCATGAGGATCTCTGAGGGGGTCGAACGGGCTGTCCAGAGGCCAATCAGTGGGCTTGCAGCGGCCATTGGCCCCCCCGTCCTCATGAGGCCTGTCCCCTCCCCTTTCCTGGGGTGAATTGAACCACCCCGTCTTCATGTTGCAGCAGCGGCCAGGCACGGTGGGGCACGCCATCGGGGACCCTCCGAGCCCCTCTCAGGGTTGTACTGGCTTTGGCTGCCCCTGCCCGTCATCCCTGGGGTTGGGCAGTGGGCGTGTCACTGTAGGGGGTGCAGGTGCCTGAGCTAGGCAGGGGTCTGCTCAGCAGCTGCTTCCCGTGCCTGGGGTGCCGTCGGGATCTTGGGGAGCAGGGGCCTGACGGGTTTTCTCACACCTGTGTCCGCGTGAGTCCTGTGTCCTGATGCCCGGCATCCCATGCGGCCATCCAATGCTGGACCCGAGGCCGGAACCCAAGCCATGGACGTGATCCTTGGTGGGATCCCAAGTGGAGCCTCTCAAGGCCCCTTCCCCGGGGAAGGCCAGGAGGTAGGGCATATCTGCTTATTGGACCAGTCCACTTAAGATGATGGAACCCCAGGCCTGGACCGGGTTCTGGAGTTCCACGGCCTTCTGTCAGTATTCATGCCATTATTCAGACACCCAGACTGGCCGGAGATTACCCCATCCCACAGCCTTGTCCCCAGGCCACAGTCCATTTAAACACACCAAGATAACGGTGGGAGGGACCGAATGGCCGGGGGGGACCTCAGGCTCTTGGACTTTGGAAAATGAATCGTGTGATGCTCACTCCTGGGCCGACTTTTTATAATGAAGAGATCAGAGGATGAAGAAGAAAGGGGACTACTTCTATCCTTCCCTTTTCCAGATCTGATTGCATAATGAAGTCAAGGTTAACCCAGCGAAATATAGAAGGTGATATTTGCATGCTTGGCCCCACCAGGCACAAAAGAGTGGGGCACCAGTGGCTCACAACCTATACATCCCAGCACTTTGGGAGAACCCAAGGTGGGAGGAGCATTGAGCCATCTCAGAAGTTTGAGACCAGCCCTAGGCAGGCATATGTGGAGACTCCTGTCTCTACAAAAAAAATAAAAATAAATAATTAAACCAGGCATGGTAGCTGTGCACCTTGTAGTCCCCAAGCTACTCAGGAGGCTGAGGGGGGAGATTGCTTGAGCTGGGACGGTCGAGGCTGCAAATGAGCTATGAAATAACACCCACGCACTCCAGCCCTGGGGTGACAGTGAGATCCTGGAATAAGGCAGTGGCACCGCCACTGTGCCACAATGTATCCCTTCTCCCCCTCCCAATGCGGCCCCGTAGCTTTGCTTAAAGCATACAGTTCATGTATTTTAGCTTATTTACCGAGCGTAAGCAACATCATGCAACCATCTAATTTTAGAGATTTTTCATCCAACCCAAAAGAAACCCGTATCTAGTCAACAGTCACTCCTGAATTCCCCCCTTCTTGCTTCCCTTCTTTTTTTTTTTTTTTTTTTTTTGAAGACAGAGTCTGGCATCCTGTCGCCCGGGCTGAAGTGCAGTGCGCCGGATCTCAGCTCACTGCAAGCTCCGCCCGGGTTTAACGCCATTCTCCCTGCCTCAAGCCTCCCGAGTAGCTGGGACTTTTACAACAGGCGCCCTCCCCCTGCCTCGCCGGCTAGTTTTTGTATTTTTTCAAGTAGAGACGGGGTTTCACCGTGTTCGCCAGGAGTCATCGAGAATCCTCCTGACCTCGTGATCCAAAAAAAAAAAAAAAAAAAAAAAAAAGGGAAGAAAGAGCTAAAATAAGCACCTATGGCTCAATGCCCAATCATTTTATGTCCTGGGATAAAGCTGTGAGCTATGATAGCGCCATTACACTCCAGCCTGGGTGACAGAGCAAGACCTAAAAAAAAAAAAAAAAAAAAAGAAGGGAAGCAAGAAGGGGGAATTCAGAGTGACTGTTACTAGATACGGGTTTTCTTTTGGGGTTGATGAAAATCTTCTAAAATTAGATGGTGATGATGGTTGCTGACTCTGTAAATAAACTAAAATACATTGAACTGTATGCTTTAAGCAAAGCTACAGGGGCCTTGGGAGGGGGAGAAGGGATACATGTGGCACAGTGGCGTCCACTGCCTTATTCCAGGATCTCACTGTCACCCAGGCTGGAGTGCGTGGTGTTATCATAGCTCATTGCAGCCTCGACCTCCCCAGCTCAAGCAATCCTCCCACCTCAGCCTCCTGAGTAGCTGGGACTACAGGTGCACACTACCATGCCTGGTTAATTTTTATTTTTATTTTTTTGTAAAGACAGAGTCTCACTATGCTGCCTAGGCTGGTCTCAAACTCCTGGGCTCAAATGCTCCTCCCACCTTGTTCTCCCAAAGTGCTGGGATTATAGGTGTGAGCCACTGTGCCCCACCTCTTTTGCCTGGTGGGGCAAGCATGCAAATACTCACCTTCTATATTTCGCTGGTTAACCTTGACTTCATATGCAATCAGATCTGGAAAAGAAGATAAGAAGTAGCCCCTTTCTTCTTCCTCCTCTGATCTCTTCATTTAAAATCGGCCCAGAAGTGAGCATCACACATTCATTTTCCAAAGTCACAGGAGCCTGAGGTCCCCTGCCATCCCGCCCTCCCACCTTATCTTGGTGTGTTTAAATGACTGTGCCTGGGGGAAGGCTGTGGGTGGGGAATCTCCTGCCCCAGTCTGGGTGTCTGAATAATGCATGAATACTACAGAAGCCTGGAACTCCAGACCCCGTCCAGGCCTGGGGTCATCATCCTAAGTGACTGGTCCAATAAGCAGATATGCCCTCACCTCTGCCTTCCCCGGGCGAAACGGGGCTTGAGAGCTCACTGGATCCCACCAAGATCACGTCCATGCTGGGTTCGGCCTCCGGGTCCAGGGCTGGGATGGCCGCCATGGGGATGCCGCATCAGGACACAGGACACGCGGACACAGGTGTGAGAAACCCGTCAGCCCCTGCTCAGATCCCCGACGCACCCCAGCACGGGAAGCAGCTTGCTGAGCAGACCCTGCCTAGCTCAGGCCACCTGCACCCCTACAGTGACACCCACCTGCCCAACCCAGGGATGACGGGCAGGGCAGCCAAAGCCAGTACCAACCCTGAGAGGGGCTCGAGGGTCCCCCGAGGCGTGCCCCCAACCTGCCTGGCCCTGCTGCAACATGGAAGACGGGTGGTTCAATTCACCCCAGAAAGGGGAGGGCAGGGGCCTCATGAGGACGGGGGGCCAATGGCCGCTGCAGCCCCTGCTTGCCTCTGGACCCAGCCTTCGACCCCCTCAGAGATCCTCATGCTCCAGCCACCCACAGTGTCCCCCAGGCTCAGCAGGGACCCCTGGGGATGGTCTTGGCCAGCCGCACCCTTGAAGGCAGGACGATCAGGGAGTGGAAAAGAGAGACTCACAGGTTTCACAGGGCTGCTGCCACGGCTCCGGGTACAGCCAGCTGGTGGGCTCGAGGTTCCAGCGGTCCAGGGCCTCCAGGCTCAGGGTCCCCGGGGAGGACTGGGCCATGGAACGAGGGACGGCGCAGGCAAAGAATGAGCTGGAAGGATCCAGGCCCACCTGGGACAGCGGGAGGCCAGAGGGCACCAGGCCGTGGGGGCGAAGAATCTGGGCGTGTCCCGCGGGGGCGGGAGGGGCGGGGGCGGGGCAGCCCTTCAGTGCCGGTGTGCAGTGGGAGGGGCGAGGAGCTGCTGGGGGTCACTTGGGGTGGGGAGCTAGGAAGCTGGGGGAGGGGCAGGGAAAGGGAATCTTCAGGTGGGGTGGGTTAAGAGCTCAGTGGGGCTGGGGGATTGGGGTGCAGAGGATGGGGCCCTCAGGGTGGAGTGAGGGGTGAGGTTTAGGGACCTCAGTGGGGACGGGGTTCAGGGGAGGGGTGGAGATGGGAGGACTGGGGATGGAGCGGATGAGGGGGGTTTCAGTAGAGGGGGGCCCTTGGGGTGGGGTGGAGGATAGGGGTGGCTGTGGGGTTGGGGCAGGGCGCTCAGAGGTAGGGCTTAGGAAGGTCATGGGGTGGGCTTCGGGGCAGGGGTGGGGAAAGGGATGAGGGTGGAGGGGTGGAGGGGTGGAGTAGGGCAGGGCTGGGGGTTGGGTGGAGTTCGCCCCCTGGGGGGAGGTGGATGAGGATCAAGTGGAGGTGGCCCTCAGGGCAGGGTGGGTGGGTGGAGGGTGGGGTTTAGGGAGATCGGTTGGGGGATTAGGAAGGGAGTGGGGGTGGGGGTAGATGGTGAGTTGGAGATGGGGGCATTCAGGGGAGGTGGTCCTCTGGCGGGATGGGGGTGATGATAGGGTGGGGGTGGGCACTCAGGGGCAGGGCTGGGGGCGGGGGCGGGGTTCAGGGCAAGGGTAGGGACTGAGTGAAAGTAGGAATGGGGATGTGAGGCCGAGGATGGGGATTTCAGTGGAAGTGGCCTTTAGGGCAGGATGGGGTGGAGAATGGGGTGGGGATGGGCCTTCAGGAGCTCAGGGTGGGGCGGGATGTGAGTGGCGGTGGAGGTAGATGGTGAGGAGATGGGGGTGTTCAGGGGAGGTGGCCCTCTTGGCGGGATAGAGGGAGGGACGTTCAGGAGACGGGCTTGGGAGCTCAGTCTGGAGCCCCAGGTTTGGGGGGCAGCTGTGAGGGAGAGAAGGAAACCTGAGGGGTGGGGTAAGGGGTGTTGGGTGGGGAATGTCAGGGCAGGTCGGGGGCTGGGGATCTGGGTGGGGGTGGAAGGTGGGAGCAGGAAGATGGGGAGGGCAGAGAGGCACTGTGGGAGGTACAGGGTGGGTTGGGAAGGGGGACTTTGTTGGGGGGACGCTGGGGGCTTCAGAGCAGGGGGCGGAGGGCCGTCGGACAGGGCTGGAGCCACAGGACAATTATGGTGGTGCTAGAAAGTGGGAGAAGACCCTTGCGGGAGGTAACCCCCTGAAGTGTGGGCTGGGCCTGGTGACCTTCTCTTGCAGGTACCACATGAGGGGTCACCACACAGGGGCAGCCTGATGGCCCCTTGGCCCCTGGCCCAGGCCGGCGTCTCAGGGAGGATTTGCCTGGGTGGGTGCCCCACACCGGGGCTTTCTCCCCCCACCCACAGCCCACCCTCTCCAGGAGTGAACTACTGGGTCCCAGCGGAGGCTGCCCAGTGCCTGAGCCTTCCTCCCTGGAGCTGTCAGGCCGCCCTACAGGGGGGTCTGAGAAACTCGCAGCCAGGAGGACCCTGAGGCACTGCGACCACGAAGTGTCACGTGGGACCCCGGTGGATCCCGGGACAGAGAGGGGCGGTAGCGAAAGGAAAATCTGAATAAAATCTGGCTCGTTGGCTGTAACTCTGCGTGTCTGCAGGTTTGTTCGCATAACCACGGTGTCCATGGCGGCCTGAGGGCTGGGTGGGGTTGTGGCAGTTCTGGACTAGCGCCTCAAGGTTTGTGTAACTTTAAAGCTGTTCCAACATAGTTTTTTTTTTAATGAAAAAAAGTGAAGGGAGAGAATATTGATGATGACAATGAGATCACTTCCCTGTGTTTGAGTAAAATGATCTTGATTGTTTCCTCCTCCTTTTATTCCAAAGAGCTTTGATTTTTAAGGAGCTCACTGGATTGAAAGTGATTAGAAGGAGCCAGCGGGTACAGGCCCATCCGTCCCCTTACCCCAGCCCCACACCCAGCCTCCGCTGCCCTGTAGTGCTGTTCCCACCAGCACACGTGCAAAGGCGGGAATTCCTGGGGATTGGTTTTGTCTCCAAGGAAGGGCAGTTTTCTTTTTTTTTTTTTTTTTTTTTTTTTTTTTGAGACGGAGTCTCACTGGTCGCCCAGGCTGGAGTGCGGTGGCGTGATCTCGGCTCACTGCAAGCTTCGCCTCCCGGGTTGACGCCATTTTCCTCTCGAGTTGCTGGGACTACAGGCGCCCGCCACCACTCCCGACTAATTTTTTGTAGTTTTCGTGTTAGCCAGGATGGTCTCCATCTCCTGACCTCATGATCTGTCTGCCTCGGCCTCCCAAAGTGCTGGAATTACAGGCGTGAGCCACCGTGCCTGGCCTCTTTTTTCTTTTTCTTTTCTTTTTTCTTTTTTTTTTCTTTGAGATGGAGTCTCGCTCTGTCGCACAGGCTGGAGTGCAGTGGCACGATCTCGGCTCCCTGCAAGCTCCGCCTCCCGGGTTCACGCCATTCTCCTGCCTCAGCCTCCCGAGTAGCTGGGACTACAGGTGCCTGCTACCACGCCCGGCTTATTTTTTGTATTTTTTTTTTTTTTTAGTAGCGACGAGGTTTCACCGTGTTAGCCAGGATGGTCTTGATCTCCTGACCTCATGATTCACCTGCCTCGGCTTCCCAAAGTGCTGGGACTACAGGTGTGAGCCACCGTGCCCAGCTTCCAGAAGAGCAGTTTTCTAACTTCACACTCCAGAACCTCCTGCAGTAAAGGAAGGTTCTGTCCAGGGAGGGTGCTCTGGCGTAGGCCACAGGACAGGAAGCCCCTCGCGTCCATCAGAGCCCCCAGTCCCTGCGCACCCCACTGCAGCTCAGCAGAGACCAGAGCGGTCCCAGCAGGAGAGAGGCCGGGTGCTCTGCAATGGGCCCCAGAAGAGCCGGCCTCTCATGGGAAGCTCTCTGGGAGCTCAGTCCCTGAGGGCCCCACTGGCACCAGCCCTGTGATATAGCCACCAGCACGCCGACCTCAGGTGCTGGGCACTGGGGGACCTCTGGCCTCACTCTCCGATGCCCCAGGAAGCCCCAAGGCCACAAACATGGCAGGGTGCGTCTTAAAGCTCCCCAGGCAGGGCTACAGGGGCTGGTGGAACACAGTCCCCGCTGTGTGGCTGTCCTTCCCTGGCACTCATGGGTGCATCTGGCGCCTTCCTTCTGCATGAGCTCCCATGCCCTCACCCAGCCTGGAAGCCACCTGTGTGCTGGCTTGATGGGGTGACCCACAGCTCACTACACATTGATTTCTGGTGCTGTTGACCTAGGGGTCTGGAAAGGCCCTGTGACTCAACCTGGCCTTGGCCCGGGCTCAGCTGGACTCACAGTGGCCACATACAGCCAGGGCCATGAGGGTCAGGGAGAAAGGACAGGACGGCAGCCTCCGCTGTGGAAGCCCCAGGGGCCTGAGTGTGGTCACTGAAGCCTCACCCAGACCTGCTGACCGATGCACTGACCCCAGGAGGAAGAGATTGTCTCACCTCTGCCTGATCAATCTACAGACAGCAGGAGCCAAAGCCCAGCATCTGGGGACACGCTCATGTCCTTGGGCCTCTGAGGGGCAGACTGAGGTGGTGATCACGGCAGGAGAAGGACGCGTGGTGACCCCTCCACATTCAGTGGCCACATTGAGTCACATGACCCACCCAGCTGTAGTGGGGTGGGAGGTGGTGATGCTTCGTGTTTGTGGAGTGAATGAACGAATGAGCAAACATTCATTCTTCTCCTGAAGACGAACTGCCGAACTGCCGCTGGACTTAGAGGTGATGTGAGCCCTTGTGTCGTTTGACCTAGAGAGAACTGCAAGAGCCCCAGGGCCCACGGTCCGCAGACTGCTCTCCAGTGCCACACCCAGGCCTGCGGCTCTGTGAACGATGGACAAAGCTGATGCTTTGATATTGAGAAAGACAAGCCTGGGAGTGGACCCAGCACCCATAGCGAGGGCCTGGTTCTCTTTTGCAGACGTCAGCAGCCTCGCAGAGCAGATGTCAGACAAGGCTGTTCGAGACAAAAATAAGGCAAGTGAAAAAATAAGGCCACTTCCAAATCGTGGCTCCCACAAAAACAAGGTCCCGGGGCCACCTATAAAAATGACCAAGCATCCCCCTCTTCTGGCTGAAAGGGGTGCGTGCAGTCTCTTCCCGGACGCTAGTTGGGGTTCACCGAGGCTCCCCATTGAAGAACCGCAGCCCTCCTAGCGGAGCCCGGTCCAGAGTTGCCGCGGTGAGCACAGTCAGATCGTCAGGGACACGCCGCGGTCACAGTTTGCATCTTTGTATTAGAGTCTCTGAGAATCCCGAAATACTATGTCTGCTTCACCCGTTAAATTACCCATCATTTCCCCCAAACGTACGAAGTAAAGGAAATTTCCCTTATGGTACCTTTGTAAAAGCCGTGTACGAAATTGTGTTCTGGAAAACACGAGTTTTATTATTTCTGCATGCGTCACATATTTTCATAGCTCAATATTAAAAAGCTGCAAAGTGGGAACAGTGAAGTGGTGCCAGACTGTGTAGCCCCAATACTACTGAGCTGTGACATAAAATCTCTGGCAAAGCTTAAGTCTCTCTTCTCTGTCCCTTTCATTTTTTTTGTAATCTTTGGTTGTTTTTTCTTATTAATTTGAAAGCCTCTTTGTGTGTAAAAGATATTGACTCATATAATCCTTGATATATGTCACAAATATTTTCTTCATTTTGTTAACCTATTTTAATGTTTAATGGTATTATTCCATGCAAGCATATTACATTATCATTTAGTCAGGTCTATGAGTCTTTTTTTTTTTTTTTTGAGGAG